CCGCTGCCTGCCTTGCAAGCGCAAGGACCTGAGTTCAATCCCTGGTACCAAAAAAAAGATGAAGTCTTGCTATGTAGTTCACGTTCACTTTGAACTCACTGTGTATCCCAGGCTGGCCTCAGACTCACGATGATCCTCTTGCCTCAGCTTCCCAAATGCTGGGACTACAGGTGTGCACCACCACACCTGGCCTTGGAAGGGCATTTTTCAAGAACAGGGGCAACTACGGGAGGCAGCTGTAGCGATGATCTCAGCACCTCCACTGCAATTTTGCTGAACATACAGATCTACATAATTTTTTATTTATGAGCTAGGCAAAAAGTCAAGATCAATCAAGATGACACTTTGAAAACCCTAGCCCAGTGCCGGGAATTTAGCTCAGCGGTGGTGCCACCACCTGCCTTGCAAGCACAAGGTCCGAAGTTTGATCCTAAAAAAAAAAAAAAAAAAAAAAAAAAAAAAAAAAAAACCCTAGCCCATAAGAATACATACTTATGCAAGCTGCTCACAAGAAAGTCGCTTCACCAGTAAAGACACACGTAGACTGGTGGTAAAGGGATGGAAACAGATGCCCTAGGCAAATGGAAATCAGAAGTGGACAGGAGGAGCCGGGCGCGTTGGTGCACACCTGTAATCCCAGCACTCAGGAAGCTGAGGCAGGAGGATCGCTGTGAGTTCGAGACTAGCCTGGGCTACATAGTGAGTTCCAGGTCAGTCTCAACTACATGGTGAGACCCTGTCTCAGAAAAAAAAAGTGGACAGGAGGAGCTACATTTGTATCAGATAAGATAAACCTTAATTCCCAAACTGTAAAGAAGTAAGGTGTAATGGAGCACATTGCAGTCCCAGCTCCTGGGGAACCTGAGGTAGGAGAACTGTTTGAGCCTAGGAACACAAGGCACAGCAAGACTCTCCCTCAAAAACAAATAAAACAGTCTGGCATATGGTGGTGCACTCCTGTAATCCCAGCATTTGGAGGCCAAGGCAGGAGGATCACCATAAGTTCCAGCCAGCCTGAGCCACAAAGTGAGACTTTGACTCAAAAAATTAGAAAAATAAAAAAACAAATAAAAAGAAACTGTAGAGACTCAAAGGTCACTATATAATGGCCAAGCGATCCATTCAACAATAGGACATAACAGTTGTAAACATTTATGTACCCAATGCTGCTACACAAAAATTGTATAATACAGACATATTAGATCTAAAAGGAAAGAAAAACTAATACAACAGTAATTGAAAATGTCAACACTTTCATCAATGGACAGGTTATACAACCAAAAAAACTTTTAAATAATCAAAAAAAAATCAGTTAAATGATCCATAGATCAAATGGACCTAACATTCATTTATACAGCATTTCATCCAATGGCTGCAGAATACACATTTTTCGCATTAGCATATGGAACATTCTGCAAGACAGACCGTGTGTTAGGCCACAAAATAAGCCTCAGCAAATTCAAAACAAGGCTGACCTATAGCAGGCTGTGGCTTGAGTAGGTTCCTCTGCGGGCCTGTGTTTGAAACACTTGGTTTCTGGCCTGCGGCATTATTGGGAGGTGGCAGATCCCCCAGAAGGTCGGGCTCACTGGCGGGCTCCTGGCTGTGGTGCAGGCCCTCGAAAGGAGCTGGGGAGCCTGGCCATGCGCTGCCTCCACCATGTGCTTTCACTGGAGAAACTGCCAGAAGCAACAGGGCCAACCAACCACGGAATGAAACTGAGAAAACTGAGCCAAGATAAACCTTTTCTTTTTTTAAGTTGATCCATCAGATATTTTGTTACAGTCACGGAAACCTGATGAATAAATGGCATGCATCTTTTCTGACCACAAAAGATTAGAACTAGAAATCAACAAAAGAAACCTGAGAAAATATAGTTGTATGGAAAATAGTATTATCTTGAACAGCCAATAAGTCAATGAAGAGATCAAAAAGGAAACTTTTAAATGTTTGTGAAGCAAAGAAAAAGCTACAACATACCATTATACAAAGGTATAATAACCCAAACAGCATGGCGCTGGCATAAAAATAGATATATAGGGGCAGGGATTTAGCTCAGTGGTTCTGCCACCTGCCTCACAAGTCCAAGGTCCCGAGTTCAAGCCCCAGTACCAAAAAAAAAAAAAAAATGAAAACAGATATATAGCCAAGCATAGTAATGCACACCTATAATCCCAGCACTTGGGAGGCTGAGGCAGGAGGACTATGGTGAGTTAGAGGCAAGGCTATGTTGCATAGTAAGTTGAAGGCCAGCCTGAACTACATAGTAAGACCCTGTCTCAAAAAACAAAAACAGTGCTCACTTCGGCAGCACATATACTAAAAAAAAACAAAAACAAAACAAAATGTGAAAACTTAGCTCAGTGGAATAAAACAGAGAGCCCAGAAATAAATCCACCTATTTACAGTCACTGATTTTTTGTTTTGGTTTTTTGGTTTTTTGTTTTGTTTTGTTTTGTTTTTTGAGACAGGGTCTCACTATATAGTTGAGACTGACCTGGAACTCACAGCAATCCTCCTGCCTCAGCCTCCTGAGTGCTGGGATTACAGGCATGTGTCACCATGCCCAGCTGCAGTCACTGATTTTTGAGAAAGACAGCAAGAATATATATTGAAGAATATAAGTCTCTATAATAAATGGTGCTAGGGCCGGGGATTTCGCTCAGTGGTTCCGGCGCCTGCCTTGTAAGTACAAGGACCTGAGTTTGATCCCTGGTATCAAAAAAAAAAAAAAATGGTGCTAGGGGCTGGGGGTTTGGCTCAGTGTTTCTGCTGCCTGCCTCAAAAGCATAAAGGTCTGAGTTCGGTCCCCAGTACCAAAAAAAAAAAAAAATGGTGCTAGGGGCTGGGGGTTTGGCTCAGTGTTTCTGCTGCCTGCCTCAAAAGCATAAAGGTCTGAGTTCGGTCCCCAGTACCAAAAACATAAATAAAAATATAATAAATGGTGCTGGGGAAAGCTAGAAATCCATATGTGAAAGAAAAATTAGACTCTCTATCTCTCACCATGACAAAAATCAACTAAAAATGAATCAAGCCAGGCATGGTGGCTCGTATCTGCCTTTCCAACTACCCAGAAGGCTGAGGCAGGAGAACCATAAGGTTAAGGCCAGCCTGTACAACTTGGTGAGAATCTACCACAAAATAAATTTTTAAAAAATTTAAGCTCAGTGGCAGAGCACTTCCTAGAATGCGTGAGGCCTTGGGTTAGAAAATTCCTGGGCTGGGAATTTGGCTCAGTGGTTCTGCCACCTGCCTTGGAAGTGCAAAGTCCTGAGTTCAATCCCTGGTACCAAAAGAAAAATCCTACAGTGACCTCTCACTCCAGTTATAGTGACAATAACAGAAAATGCTGACCAGAATGCAGAAGAAAGGAAACTATTGGTGGGACTGTAATTGGTACTGCCATTATGGAAATCAGTATAGAGGTATCTCAAAAAATTAGAAATAGAACTACCACATGATCCAGAAAGACAATCGCTGGGAATACACCCACAGGAAATGACATTGGTATGGTGAACAGGCATCCACACTCTCATGTTTATCACAGCACCACTTACAACAGTGCAGTGTGTCCACCAGTGGATGAGTAGATAAAGAAAATGTGGTACAGGCACACAGTGGAATACTACTCAATCATGAAAAATGAGGTTTTGTTGGAGGACATTGTGTTAAGTAAAGTAAGGCACAAAAGGCCAAATACCACATGTTCTTTCTTATATGCAGAAGCTAAAGCAAATCTTCCAGAAGAAAATATTAGAACAGTGGTTCCCGGAGACGGGGGGCATACAGGTTATAAGAGGGATGGAGAGAGGATAATTAAAGGGTACAGGAATGCAGTTGGGAACCAGGAAGAACTCCTAAGGCAGGGTAACTGTGGGTGACAGCAACTAATTGACAGGAACTAGGAGAGGATTTGGGATGTTCCCAACACAAAGAAATGATCTATATCTGAGGAGACCGGCAATTCCCCTGATCTGACCACCACACTCTGTGCATGTGCTGTTATGCCACACTCTATCCCATAAGTACGTACAACTACTGTGTGCTGATTTCAAATCTACAAATTGAAAATACGAAAGTGCAAAAGGATATTCACTGGAACACTGTCTCTGCTAGAACTGATGTACAGGGCCAATAACAGAGAACTGGCGAAGTAAAATACAATACATCCTTAAAACTAACATGGAGGAGGGCCAGGGAATTAGCTCAGTGGTGCCGTGGCCTGCCTGGCAAGCACAAGGTCCTGAGTTCAAACCCAGTACCAAAAAAAAAAAAAAAAAAAAAAAAAAAAAAAAAAAAAAAAAAAAAAAAAAAAAAAAAAAAAAATGGAGTAACATGAAGCATTAAAAAAATAGTAGATCTAGCTGGGTGTGGTGGCCTACACCTGTAGTCTCACACTTAGAAGGCTGAGGCAGGAGGATTATCAAGCATTTGAGGCCTGTCTGGGCTATACAGCAAGTTCGAGGCCAGCCTCAACTGCTTAGCAAGGCTCTGTCTCAAAAAACAAAAAAAAAAAGTAGATCTGTAAGTAAAGGAGACGGTCACTGGCAAATGCTAGAGGGAGAAGCACACCACAGAATTACATGTATGATTCTTTTTTTGAGACAGGGTCTCACTATGCAATTCAGGCTGAACTTGGACTCATTACTCATGGTGATCCTCCTGTCTCAGCCTCCAAGTACTGGGATTATAGGCATGTGCCACTATGCCTGGCTTCTTCTTCTTCTTCTTTTTTTTTTTTAGACAGGGTCTCCCAATGTAGCTCAGGCTGCCCTCGAATTCACAGTGATCCTCCTGCCTCAGCCTCCCAAGTGCTGGGATTACAGGCCCGCACCACCATGCCTGGTTCACACATTAATTCAACAACAACAAAAATAAACGTTTTCAGAGGCATTTCTTTCCAACTCCCTCCCACTCCCTGCCGGTTGCGCATCTCTGCTCCTGCCCAGTCCTCCACCACTGCCTACCACTGCCCACCACTCCTGGCAAGCCCCACTTACAAATGCAGGCGGCAGCGAGCAGGCGGCTGGCGGCGTAGGGGGCGTGGCAGCTGGGGAAGAGGGGCTGCACCATGTAGTTGGCGAAGGTGATGGCGATGATGGCCTGGCTGGTGGGTTCGATGATGAGCAAGGAGGTCCAGAGGCGGATGAAGGCGAGAAGTCCACCGAAGGCCTCCAGGATGTAGGCATAGCTGGCCCCAGATTTCTTAATGGTGGTGCCCAGTTCCGCATAACAAAGCGCCCCAACGACGGAGAAGAGGCCCCCGACGGCCCAGATGACCAGCGAGAGGCCAAAGGAGGCGCTGTACATGAGCACACCCTTGGGGGAGACAAAGATGCCCGAGCCGATCATGTTCCCCACAATCAGACACACGCCATTGAGCAGCGAGATCTCCTTCTTCAGCTTTACCTGTTCGGCCCCCGGGCCGGCCCCATCGCCCACGGGGGAGGCGGGAGCCTCCTGCTGGGGGGCTACTGCGTACTTGCCCTTGCCGTCGTCCACCATGGTAGAGGAGAGGAGAGCCCTCACCAGCTTCCTAGCATGGCCCTGGGAGGAAGAGAGATGGTGCTGTGTGCTGCGCGGCTGCGGAAGACACAGAACTTCCCCCAGACCCTCAGAGGCAGCCGGCGCGGATCACCACTTTAGAGACCTCTCCTGCTTCCTCCTCCCGCCAAACAACCTTGTCTCCGGCCGGCTCAGCTAAATACCCACCCACCCCCAAATTAAATTAATTAATTAATTAAAGCAGCTTGCTTTTTTTTTTCCTCCAGTACTGGGGATCAAACTCAGGACCTCGCGCTTGCCAGGCAGGTGTGGCACCGCTGAGCTAAATCCTGGCCCTCGGTTTGCATTTTTAAGGGCCGATGGTCATGCTCCTGAGGGAAAACATCAGTCTCTCATTATTAGGATAGCCAGTTCACCTGATTTGCCAAGTAGAAAACTACACCCTGGTTCTACCTGAGACTGCAACAACACAAGACAGGCCTGAGGGTAGTCTGAGCCTGCCTTCGCAGCCCCCCCCAGTTCAGTCTTACCTGTCTGCAGTGCTGCGATGGAACACAATGTATCACTGGCTAACTATGCACAGCAAATCTAAAGGTTTCTGAGGCCTCCATGAACCACCCTCAGCCATCGCTTCTCCTCACCCAAACACCATCCCTTAGTCTCTAGCATTTCAGGTCTTCAGCCATCAAATCGATCACGATAGCACAGATGCAACACCCAAAAACATACGAATGAGGGGAGGGCAACCCCAAGGTACAGCCCAAGCAGCCGGGCACAGCTGGGGCACCACCCAAAACCAAGGCAAGGAAACAGCTGGTGCGGAGCTCAGCAGGAGCCAGCTGAGGGGAAACCAGGGGCTGCTATTCAGGCAAGTGGTGGGATGAGAAGGCAAGAGGCAGGGGAGAGAGGAAGTGACTGGACATAGCAGGGCAGAAGAGGGAGAGCAAGAGGAGTGGGGACAGAGGACAGGGTGGGACGCACACTCACTCTCTGGCCCTGGATATAAGCAGGCTCCCCTGCCCCGGCAGTCAGAAGACTCCAGGAACAGTGGTCTGAGTGCTCCTTCCTTCAGCCAGTGGTAAAAGGAAGACCGGCAAAGGTCTATGGATTGAAATCCGGTCAAGAAGGGTGGAGTGGGTGCGGGAAAGGAAGAGGAACGTTGAGCAACTGTCTGGGTCCAAGGTTCACAGGCCCTGTGCATCTGCAAAAGGGGCAGCAAGGAGCTCTGGCTCAGCACTTTCAGCGATAAGAAGGAGCTCTCGAGCTCTCAGGAATCTCCTTTGTCAGCGCTGCTGGGGGACTACGAGCCCAGGAGAAAGGCCAGCCAGCAGGGTGTCACTGGGGAAGCTGTGCCAGAGCCAGTTAGCTGAGGACCCGGCCTGGTACCCATGGCTCTGAATGCCCTCCACCCTAGCCTCACTTCTCTCTCGCCCCAAACTATTAAGAAAGGCAGGAAGGTTGCAGGGTGTGATGCAGGCTTGTTCATGGCTGAGATTAGAGGAAGTGCAAGAGCAGCCCCCGCACCCCGTGACTCCCAGGCAGAGAACTCTGCGCACTTCCCCATGCACAGAGACAGTGGCTGCCTCTCAACTTGGGACCTTATCCCAAAGTGTAAGCGTCAAGCTCCTAAAGGAAAAAAGGTCAAGAAACTAACTGTGGCTACAACTCCACCCCACCCACATGCCCTTTCATCCTTAGGAAAACACAGCAAGATCCCTGGAGCAGCCATACACTCCTACACACACCTTCTCCTAACAGTGTTCCCTCTACTTTCTTAAAGATTTAGGAAGAGCTGGGGGTGTAGCTCAGGGACAGAGTGCTTACCTAGCCAAAAAAAAAAGCTTTTTAAAAAGGGAAATAAGATCTTGACCTAACAAGCAGAAGAAAATAAACCACTGTTTTGAAAATCATGGTTTATACTGTCTTTATTTTCTACTTTAAGTGTGGTATTCTAGTTGGGTGTGGTGGTGCTCACCTGTAATCCCAGCACTCAGGAGGCTGAGGCAGGATTGCCGCAAGTTTGAGGCCAACTTGAGTTACATAGGGAGTTCAAGGCCAGCCTGAAATTGAGTCTCTTTTGCTCACAGAAACACAGCTTTTTTTTTGGAGACAGGGCCTTAGCCTGATGAGTGCTGGGATTACAAACATGCTCCAACATGCTCAGCCAACCTTTTCATTCTGAAATCTACATGCCTGTCCCTTTATAGCCCTTAAATGGTTTTTGGTGGGGTTTTGTTTTTCGTTTTTTTGTTTTTTTGTACTGAGGGTTGAACCAAGACCACTGCGCTGAGCTACATCCCCAGCCCTCCCCCATTTTTTAATTTTTTTTCTGAGACAAGGTCTTTCTATGCAGTCTAGGCTGGTCTTGAACTCACTAGGTAGCCTAGGCTAGCCTCAAACTATCGGGAACCCTCCTGCCTCAGCCTCCAGAGTGCTGGGATTACAGTTTTGGTGTTTTGTTTTGAGATAGAGTCTTGATAAATCACTACATTGCCCAGTTTGGGCCTATATTTTTTATTCTCCTGCCTCAGCTTCCCAGTTTTGGTGTGCACCACCATGCCCAGCCCCCTTAAACTTTTTATTTAAACCCAGTAGGGGCCGCCAGGACTATATCTCCCAAGACAGCCTCAAATATATCTGAAATCCATCCAGAAGACACTGTCCTTTTCTCCCAGCACTTCCAAGAGTGTTCCTGTAGTAATGATGGCTAGCATCTATTGAACATTTGCCCGGCCAGACACACAGCCAAGCACTGTGATGTCATTAAACTCCCCCCACAGCCCCAGAAGGCAGGGACTTAAGTCCCTTGTAAGGCGCCAACGTAGAGAAAGCAGGCAGCTGAAACCTAGAGCATACACTTAATCACAGAACGATGCTCTCTCCTCACCCTCCTACCCCTCTACCTGTCCCGGTCCCTGGTTCTTCCTTTTGGATAGGTAAGCACTACAAGGGGCTCCCTAATGAATCACCTGGAGGAGGGTATGTCAGCCTCCCTCTCATACTGGGCAGGGATTGCTAAGGGGTGCCCGCCTCTAAAGCAAACAGAGGGCCGGAGATTTAGCTCGGTGGCACCGCGCCTCCTCGAAAGCACAACGTCCTGAGTTCAAGCCTCGGTAACCAAAAAAATAAAAAATTAAATTAAAAAAAAAAAAGCAAACACAGATATACATCGTCACACCTTCCCCTTTAAGATCAAGTCCGCTGCACCAATACCATGAATCCTAATACAACATCAAGAAAATGAACGAAGGAGAGACAGAGGAAGAGGAAGGGAAAACACTGAGGAGCCTGGGGAGAGAAGTTGTGCAAGGTTGAATTCCTAACTGTTGCTATGAGACTAGTATTCTTGAGGGGTTCTGCCCAGAAGGCACCCACACCCAGGCAAACAGCGCACCCTAGCGGCCCAGCAGGAAGTACCGCGTGGAATGACCTCTCCGGCCCCTTCAGTCATTCCTTGCTACCTGGCTGCCTTCACAGTCATCCCCCTCTTTCGCAGTCATGCCTAGCACCTCAGGAGGGAAGGAACCACCTTCACCCTGAGTCTCAAGGTGAAGCTTCCTCCATTCCGGCAGCCAGGGGCAGGCAGAGCCTCTGACGCTGGAAGGAGCTGTGGCACCCCGGGCTTTACAAAAGCCTTTGGAGATTATCTCACCCGCATTATCCTCCCTAACTCAGGTGCCCTCATCTCGGAGACACTGTAGAGAGTACAGAGCAACGCACTGTTCCCACAGTCTGTGGAAGAGGCTTCACATCAAGGAAGCAGGCAGCAGGACCCCCAGCATGCTGCGCCTGGCAGAGCAGCCAGAGGAACCCCAAGCACAGACCCCACCCTCCAATGGCAACAACAAACACACCTCCCTGGAGAACCAGCACAAAGCTCAGCACCTGGGCTCCTCAGCCAAGCTCGGGAAGCGACTGTGAACATGTGCTCCCCAGAGACCCCATGGCCTGCCCTCCTGCCTCCAACTGCTCCCCTAACAACAGAAACAAAACAGATACATACGCATAAGGCGGGATTCCCCATCCCTCCAAGCTAGCGGCTCAGCTCTTCTTTCCCCAGTTCCCCCTTTTTTTTTTCTATATTCCACTATAGCTAAGACCGTCCCTTTAAAAAGAAAAAAAAAAGTGAGGCAAGAAAGAAACTGTTTACTTCTATGGCTAGGGACGGCTTCCATACAGGGAGAGCTGAAGTCTGGGCAGAAGGTTCTGCCTAGGGAGGGCTGGGACTAGGAAATAGGCATGCTGGGGTCTCCCTTTAGCCAGTTTTCTGAGACTCACTCCATCCTCCTCCTGCTCTCCCCTTCTCCCCATTGTCAGCGCTGTTTCACCTCTTACCTGCCCTTTGTGCTACAGCGGGGAGGAGGGGCTCCCAGCACACCGTGCCCCGAGTGGGAAGGCGCCAGTTATTAGGACCTGAGGTAAGGCTCTTGCTGCAGCAGCTGTTGACTCTGAGGAGCTAAAAGGCAGAGGGTGACGGGACCGAAATGGAAAACAGGAAAACACATGTGCGACTCTGACCGGCAGCGGGGAGGGGCCAGGGCATGGGCTGGAGCTGGGATTGCCCAGTCAGACCCAGGGGCCTGGATGCATGCAGCCTCCAGGTACTTTTTCTACCCTGAGTCTTGGCTCCTTCTCCTCCCCCTATGTTACTCCACATTTATCAAATACTTCAGAGTCCTGTGCAGATCTGGGCATGGTGGTGCACAACTTTAATCCTAGCACTCTGGAGGCTAAGGCAGGACTGCCACAAACTCGAGGCCAGCCTGGGCTACACAGTGTGTTCAGGGACAGCCTGAACTACATAGCAAGACTGTCCCAAAGGGGGGGGTCCCTTGCAATTTACAGTTCCCTCCTGAGGCTGCTACCCACTCCCCACCTGCCCTCCCGGTGTCATTATGTTTCCTACTCTCCTGTTTGCTACTCACATACTATGCCTAGTCCCACAGAGGACATTTGATTCCTCAGGTGGGCAGCAAAACTTCATCCATCCCAGTTTCCAGCAAGCCAAGGAAGTTAATGCACACCAGCGAAGACCACTTGCGGGTATAGCCAAGTACATGCCCAGACACTGAAGCAGCCCAGACTGCAGATGGGTGCAGATGGTGTGAACAGGTGAGTCTGAGTCACCCCGCGAAAGCCAACTGTACCCTGGCACCCTGGGTGGACTCATGAGTTGGCACCTCTTCAAACCACTATCACTCAAATATCTGTGAAATGCATGTTTAGCAGAGGTTAGGGAGAATGCCAATTTTCTCTGAATAAAAACTGTGCAAGCCTCTTTATATTCAAAATTAGAGATGAACTGCATTTGTCTGAGGTAGACAACTTCTTGGTGGACAGATTAAGCCACTTAAGACTAGACAATGGGGTCGGGACGAAGTTCAGTGGTGGAGTACTAGCCTAGCATGCATGTTCTTTATCCCCAGCCCCAGCTGCATCCACCCCACCCCCAAAAAAGATGCAGAAATGACATAAATTTCCGTCCTGGGGAGTAATGCTACTCAGAGCAGCCTGCATTTTCAGAATTCCAGCTGTGACTGCTATCTCTAGGCAGCCATCAGCTTGTGCGCCTCAGGGCTACACCATGCAACTTGCACCTGCATTTGGCAAATTACGCCAGAGACAGGCAGTCGGGGTGAAAGGGGTCCTAGCAGGTTGTCTGTCACCGGTTGGGAGCCAACTTGCGTTTCACTAAGACACAGACATCAGAGTTCACTGGCACCAAATAGCTGAATTTTTATTCCAAGAATAATTCAGTGGCCTTTTAAACCCAGGCTGCTTACCAGCTGGCCTGCCCCTCAATCTTACTCCGGGTCCAGGTCCAACTTGGAAAGGAAGCGCTGGGAAGAGAGACAGGAGCTGTCCCTCCTTGCACAGCTCTCCTCTCTCCCTGCACTCCAGCCACCCTGACTCCCTGCTGGGGCATAGATGTGGTGCCCGTTTCTCCTTCCTGGGAACATTCCACCCCGGGACCTTCTTATCCCGTGTTAACATAAATACCACAAGAGCTGCTTTCCCTCTCTGTTCCCTAGTACCCGGCTCACAGAGGAGTCAACAAAGGTCTTCCAGAAGAATAAGCGAATGAATGAACAATGTTGCTCCTCTCCGATTTCCCAGCTGGCTGGGCTGCTCCGCAGGTCTGTTAGTTCGCCCTGCAGACCCCGTTGTGTTGCTTCCCTCGGCTCCTTAGAACAAAGAGTATTCGAAGGTGCTTATTCTTTTTTATAGTAATGGGTTGGAACAGTACGGTTTTCACTTTTACTGGGAGGCCTAGAATGGTTTGCAATCGATTTTTTTGTTTCACTAATGGAGGAAAAATAAATAAAACAAAAAGGCCCACATCTAACTTCTTTCCCGGATCCAGGAAGTTCTTGTCCGCCCTATCCCATGCCCAGGCTCAAGTGACGCGTCTAGGTGTGGCGCGGAGGTGGCGAAACCAAAGTACCTGGACTAGGTGAAAGGGCGGAGAAGGCAGAGGGAGACGAGCGCTCCGGTTCACGCACCATCCGACCGGTTCAAGAAAGGCGAGAGCGCCAACCGCAAAACGCGGCCTGTCCACGGCTCGGCTCCCACAGCTGCGTCCCGGTCCGGGGGCCCGCGGGTCCCTCCTCTCCGCCCCCGCCCGCGCTCACCTTTGCCCCGACTCCCACGCTGCCGCCCGCGCTCCCCGGCCCGCCGCCACGGTTTCCGAGTCGGCGACCCTAAGACCTCGCCCTCTCCTCTCGAGATCCATCCTGTTCACCGTCACCCTCTAGGCTCCTCGGAGAGCTGGGTCACCCCGAGGGACAAGCCCGGCGGAAGGTGCCGACCCCGGCTCTTTCTTAGGAGACCAGGACCCCGATGCACAGGGCGTCCCCTCCGTTCCCCGCACCTGGCCAGGCTGCCCTGGCCCCGCCCCGCACGGCCACCCTGGGAAGGGCTGCAGAGGGGCCGAGGTATGCGCAGGTGGCAGGAGCAAAGGCCTCCCAGCGAGGGCACAGGGCGCTGCCCCGGCGTCCTGTTCCCTCCCTGTCCTTCCCGTGGGCGGCCTCTGCGCGAAAGCCTCGAACTCCGGCAACCCCTGCCGAAACCCGAGGGACCCTGGACTGGGAAGCCCCAGGGGCTCCGGGGACTGGGGGCGGGGGTCTCCCGGGAAGCGTCTTCTCGGCCCGGCCGCCCGACTCTCCCCGCTCGGGGACGCTCTTGAGTCAGCCCTGAGAGCCCAAGTCGCAGCGTGGTCTCCGCCGGACCGGAAGGCGTCGGGGAGGTGCCGCCGCCGCTAGGAGGCAGCACTTAACCAAAAATTTCGGGACGAGGGAGTCCCAGAGGTTGAAAGCCCCAGGACACCTTGGTGGAAGAGCTCTAGGGCAGCAAGGGCCTAACAAAAGAGGGAATTGTTGGGCTAGCTCAAGAAAAGGGATCTGGAAATGCTTCGCACCCTTTAAGGCTAGAAGATGGCTTGTAAATAAAAAATACTTTTGTTCAACCCAGAGTTGGCCGTTCTTTAAAGTAAACATTGCTGCTCTCCAGGGATCCCCAGAGAGCCAGCCACTCGCCTTCTAGACCAGGCTGGTGGAGGGGTGGCCAGTCACCCGGGACTTCCCAGCCACCCAGCTAGAAGGAAGAGCATAATCCGAGGTCATAACTGACCCGTTCATTTTGAAGTTGGATCATTTCACCCAGAATTTAGCCAGTACTGATTGAGCAGGGATTTCACAGCTTTTGTTACAATAAATTATGGAAACAATGAGGAAATATGCAAAGCAGTGTGTTGTATAGATGAGTTATTTATAATCTTTGGTTCTCATATTATTTCTTCCTTCATTTTCTTAGACAGGTCTCACTTTTTAGCCCAGGTTGGTCTCAAACTCACCATCCTCCTGCCTCAGCCTCCCCAGTGGTGGGATAACAGGATGCAACACCATACCTGGCTCAATTCCCTCACTTCTTCAATTTCTTCATGAGGTAATAGTCATGATTTGATCTTTCAGCTGTCCTAAAAAGGAAGCTAATGAAAAAGTTCCCAGGCAGTCCACACTTCTCTCCACAACTTCAACTTTAGGAAAAAAAAAATTTGTCATTTGCGTGCAGAAAGAGGAAGAAGACACAAAGTGAGGTAGAATTGGAGACTCAGAGTCAGCTTCCCATGTTTCTTCTCTGTTGTCATCGTTACTCATCACAACCATTAAGAGGCACCTAATTTCCCAGAGCAAAGCACTCAGACAAAAGCAACTGAATATAGATCTACAGAATAAAAGGATTTTTTTGAGTAAATAGATTAGATGAAAGCATAAATGGACAACAACGCATCCTTGAAAGGCAAAGGAGTTTAAGAGAGGAAAGGCACAAAGCTCAGACTCGGTGCTTCACTTCCCTCTTAATTCCCTCCATATGAGGATGAAGTACAAAGGTTAAAAGACATCCAGCGTGGGGTGACGTTGCTTTCCGGTGGTTGTTGAGGCAGATGACGTCACTGAGTGCTGTCCAGGTGCCAGACCCCTCCCTCAACAGTGTTCCACGTGGCCCCCAGAGTGTTGCTGATGTTAGCTGTCAGCGTCCCATGTCCCCCTCAAAATCCTAACTCCTACTTCCTGCTATTTATGACCCATGAATGGTCTCTGTGCCACGTGATGCTAGCCATGTCATAGCTGAACTCGTCACCCTTCCAGACACTCTTCCTTCCCTTCCCCAATTTCCTGGTTCTGATCAAACTTCTCGTCTTGTCCCAGACCTCTGCTCCTGTTCCTGGACTTCCACAGCCATTGAATGATGCAGGTGTCCACTTTTGCATGTAGCATTCACATTGTCCACATTATTGTAGACATACATATCCTTTTGTGTGATTTTGCACATTGACGGTGTCCTCCCCATGTGTGAGTTAAGATACAAGTGTTGCTGGTTCAGTTCCCTTAATATAATTCAGGAGATAGTGTGAGGCTGTCATATAAGACTGATCCTTCCTGTCAATCCCGAACACTGACTCTTAGATTATCCTTTAAACCTTTGGCTTTTACTTGATTTTCCAACTGTCAACTCAATGATGTCTGTGCTATTGTTATAGGAGATAGGGTGTGGCAAAGATAGCTGGGAAAAGGATCAGGACCTGTCAATTAGAAGATCCCAAGGCAAAAGGAGGACCCTACGTGTAGAACTTCTCCCAAACTCCCAGGAAGACTTGCACAACATAAAAGATTTATTGTGGAAAGCCACTATCCTGAGTGAATCTACACATTGAGTCTAAATGAGGCACATATTTTATTTTTGCTTTTACCCTTTTTTCTTTGTTCTGCCCACGTTCACTCTGCAGAGCTCGTCTTTCCCATACCTGTTTACCTCGAAAAACATTTTTTTGCCAGTAGCAAGGGTAGAACTCAGGACCTTGCACTTGCGAGGCAGGTGTGGTGCCACTGAGGTAAATCCCCAGTCGCATGTTCTGTTTCTTTCTAAAATGCTGTGAGGTTTTTTGGTTTGGTTTGGTTTGGTTTTTTCCTTCTTTCCCTCATTCTTTCCTCTAGGCTGAGAATGCAGGGAAATGTTGTCAAGGGAGCAGTTTGATGCTTTTCTGGTCATGGGGAAAAGGGAAGGGAATGTAGGCTTTTGTTTTTGTTTCTAGCCACTTGCATTCACTCTGTGGGTATGCTTTATTGTTCGTGCATTTGTTTGTTGTGTATTTTGCTAAATTGGCCTGGCCTTCACATACTGCAGTTTGCAAATGGTTTTTTCTGTTTGTGTTTGGGTTGGGGATGCCACCCTGTTGCCTTGACACATGGCCAGCAGCCATCTTGTCTTCTTCTGTGACTTTTCATGTGGATGTTCATCACCAGCCACTGCCATCTTTTATTCTAACCCCTCTTTTTTCTTTCTTTCTTTCTTTCTTTCTTTCTTTCTCTTTCTTTCTTTCTTTCTTTCTTTCTTTCTTTCTTTCTTTCTTTCTTTTTTAAGAACTGACCTTATAAGCTAGGCCTCTGAGAACAAGAAAAAGAAATTCTTTCACACAAGGAAAATAGTGCACAATCCCTTTAAGAACTCCTGGACTGTGGCCCCTGGGAAATTTGGGTATAGTACAAGGATGGATGCCCTCAGGCAAAACTGGAGGCCTGCTACCATCCCAGCAGGGTGTGTCCATCTTACCTAGTGCCAGGGGGGAAGAAATAGGAACTCAAGAAAAATAATGTCCCTCTTAAAAGCAGATCCCAGGGCCTGCAAAACTTCTCTCTCATGTCCAAGAGCCTGCCTAGGGCTATTGTGCTTCCCCGTTCAAATGCAGTTTAGTTAGAGGCCTAAACCTGATGCCTGAATAGAACAGCTAATTAAAGTAACAGTGTAAAAAACAAAGCCTTAGCAACTCTTAGCACTGCTTCTGTCAGAGTAAATACAAGAGATGTGTTTCCCATATGATTTCTAAGTGCAAGTTTGAACACTAAGAGGTTTGACGAAGTGGTTCAAAGAACTTTGCTTGGCAAAGTTCTGCCATTACCTCACGGGAATTTAGACTAGGCCAGGGCAACAGCTGGATCGGCCCCCTTCTCCCTAATGGGTCCCAAAGTAGAGATCAAAGCCCCTGGAGGGGAGGAGTTTTCTTCCGTTCTGTGGTCGGTGATAAAAAGATTCTGGCATCAATTTGAGGTTCTCAGATAGAGATGCCTATAAAGTCCCACAAGGGCCACCTTGTGGACTTCAGCTCTCCTGATGCATTGAACGCTGCCTTAACGTGCAGAGGCCTAGTTGTCTCCCTTCTCTTTCTAGGTCTCAAGACAAACAGATGGGAAATCTATTGGATCTCTTCACCATGTGCATTCCGCCAACTTTGCCACTAGGCTTCCTTGATGAATGGGATAGATTTGATCCGGACAATTTTTTTTCAGAATTAAAGATTTTTATCTAACTTCCTTTATGTTGTCTGTATAATTTTCAAGCACACCGAGAATCTTGGTTCTTAAGGACAGAGATGATTATTCATTTGTTTTCTTCCATATACACACACATTAGTTTTAGGAAAAAAAAATGTACTACTACCACCAAAAACTGTGATTGCTTTTTAATTTTTCTTTCTTTTTTGGAGACAGGATCTCACCTATGCAATTCAGACTGGCCTTACATTCACTATGTAGCCCAGGCTGGCCTCAATCCTCCTGCCTCAGCCTCCCTAGTGCTGGGACTGCAGTCGTGTGCTACCAAGGCCTGTCATAGGTTTGCCAAATATCATCTGAAACAAGTCTTATAACTGCTGTCACCATTCTCTCCCTTTTAATATAGAGTTTCCATGACTCCGTTAGAAGATCACGTGGCCATTAGATGGCCCGTGCTGTCCCTCTTTAATGCTCATGTAATGTTCATACAATGTATTACAAGCTCACTACCAGTTACGATGCTGTCCCTAGCATCGTGCTGGCTCATTTGTTCCTTGGCAGGTTTCTCAGGAAAAGTTCATAGAAACAACATGATCTGACTCCTTGCATGCTGCTTGCAGTGTGCGTGTGCCGGTCACACCTGATGGTCAGCTTTGTGGGATATAAAATCCTCGGTTCAAATTTTCCTTCACTAAGTATCTGAAATAGATTACTTTATTTTTCCTGGCATAGAAATGTCCAGTGATAATATTATTTTCTTTCTCTAATATATTACTCACTACTTTTTCCTGAAAGTTTTCTTCTTTCTTAAAGTTCAGCAATTTTGCCAGAATATGTCTTAGTTATAGTTATTCCAGGTTAATGTTAGATGGCCTGCTCTTTGAAATCTTGTCGCTTTGGGGAATCTTTTTGTTGGTTTGTTTGTCTGAGGCAGGGTCTCACTATGTAGTTGAGACTGACCTGGAACTCACTATGTAGCCCAGGCTGGTCTAGAACTCACAGCGATTCTCCTGCCTCAGCTTCCCAAGTGCTGGGATTACAGGTGTGCACCACCACGCCTGGCTTGGGGAATCCTTTTTGACTTCTCATTTTAGTATTTGTTCTGTTCTCTTACTTAGGTTTTCTTCAGTGCCCCTGCTACCCATATGTTACACCATCTTTACCTATCTTTAGTACTGTGCTCCTTCTCAAACAGTTCCTTAAGCTTTAAAATGTTTTCTTTAAACATTCCTGAAATGTTTAATCTTCACTAAGAAAACGTTTTGTTTAAGTCTAACCAATTTTGTCATAAAGGCACAGTATTAAATTTTTAATATTTTTTAAGAGTTCATAAAAAAGCATCAAAATTTTCAACATCAGCTATCTACACAGAAATAAATTCCTATGGGGCCGGGGATTTAGCTCAGCAGTTCAGTGGACTGTCTTGCAAGCGCAAGGACCAGAGTTCAATCCCCCGTACCAAAAAAAAAAAAAATTTTTTTATGAACTACAGTGAAAATACCAATAAAACTCTACCCAAAAAAATAAATCTTTAGGGCTGGGGATTTAGCACAGTGGCATCACACCTGCCTCGCAAGCGCAAGGCCCTCAGTTCGATCCCTGGTACCAAATAATAATAATAATGATGAACTTTACTTCAATTACCACACCTACGGCAGTCTGCACACATGACAACTGCACATGTGTTTTGCTGTTGTAACATATGAAGTACCACTTACACTGACTGCACAGGGGGTTTTTTTGTTTTGTTTTGTTTTTCTGAGACAGGGTCTCACTATGTAGTTGATACTGACCTGGAACTCACTATGTAGCCCAGGTTGGTCTTGAACTCACAGCAATCCTCCTGCCTCAGCCTCCCAAGTGCTGGGCTTACAGGTGTGTGCCACCATGGCCGGCTTGACTGCACATAGGTTTTCCTTTCCTGGCCTTTTTGTAGGACACACTTGACATCTCACTGGTCTTGCTGTCTCGTCAGGAGGTTCCTATTCACATTATACAATGTGTAGTTAACAGGAATATAAAATAGCAATAAAATAAAGTATTAAATTATTACTATGTATGCCACATTTAGAATAAACAGCATTTTCACACCAGCTGCGTACTTGCTTATAAAACCTAAAAGATAACATCAGAAATAAATTCTCCTATGAATTGCAGTGAAAATACCAATAGGACTCTACAACAAAACTAATCTCTGCTTCCATTGTCATACCCAAGGCAGTCTGTACACATGAAAACTGTATGTTCCATGCAGCACGTGTGCTTCCTTTCCTTTCCCGTGTGGCAGGCTGTTCTTGTCACCTCTCTTGTATATTTGTTTTATCAGGAGCTTCTTACCATACTGCACAATGTGCACTTAGCAGGAAAATAAGATATCAATAATATAAAACATCAAATATATAAAGAGTATCAGAGGGCCATCAACCTTCTGACTGCCTAAAAGGGGGGAGGGCAAGGGCTAAAGAGAATAAAGACAATAGAGACTTGCTTAATTTTAAAGTATATGAGGGGCCAGGAAGTCAGTGCCTCAGAGTGGGTGAAGACAAAGACTCTCCAGGTGGGCGTGGTGGCACACACCTGTAATCCCAGCACTCGGGAGGCTGAGGCAGGAGGATCACTGTGAGTTCGAGACCAGCCTGGGCTACATAGTGAGTTCCAGAGCAGTCTCAACTACATAGTGAAACCGTCTCAAAAAACCAAAAAAAAAAAAAAAAAAAAGACTCTCCAAGGTAGCCATCATTTATTGGGTACACACAACAATTGGAGGGCATATCAGGTGACTTAGGGGACAGAGGTAATCCTTATGTAGATGAGGATTTTTTTTGGTGTTTTGTTTTTTTTTTTTTGGTACCAAGGATTAAACTGAGGACCTCAAGCTTGCCAGGCAGGTGCTGTGCCATTGATCTGGATCACTGGCCTGAGATGAGGGTCTTATGCTGATGAAGATCATAGGTTATGAGATCCTTATGTTGAAGAGGACTGTAAGGAGAGTATTCTCACAAAAGTAGGTGGTAGGAGTTAAGATGATATGGAATTTGTCCCTCCCTAGGTGAAACCTTTCTCCTTTTTCTTTCTTTTCGTATTTTTCTTTCTTTCTTTCTTTTTTAACTCCTCGGTTCCCCCAAGAACCCGGATGTCTTCATCGGCTCTAATCCTGCCCTTGAGCACCACAGTATCACAGGACCATTGAGGCCTCAGTTTTGACCAGAGGCAAAGCAGAGTTGTTTCTGTTTGCCACAGCCAGTGCGCAGACAAGGTGACATTGGTCCTTAGGTACAGTCATACTTTAATTAGGAAATGATTTTTCCCCAAAATTTTTGTAGAATGCCTCTCAACAATGAGTGCTTAGAATACACATCAACATTTTCACATCAGCTGTTTACTTGCTTACAAAAGATAACATCAGAAATAAAAACCTATGTGAACTACAATGTAAATACAAACAAAAGTTTACTACAGAAATAATCTTTGCTTTAACTGTCACATCCAAGGCAGTCTTCACACATAAAAAGTTCATGTTCCATACACAGGAATCACTTATACCGATAGCACCTATGTTTCGTTTTCCTGTCCTATCCCCCAGCCCCTTTGGAACCAGGGATCAAACCCAGAACCTTGCACTCGCAAGGCAGGTGCAGCAGCACTGAGCTAAATCCTGGCCCTTCCTACCTTTCTGTAGGGCACAGCTGATATCTTTTTTGTTTTCCTGTTGTCATAGTAGGTCTTTGTGTTGCTCTGTCTGCCTGTTCACGTGTCAGTTCACCAGTGTGCTCCATGATTTTTTTTTTTCTTTTTTTTTTTTTTTTTTTTTTTTTTTTTTGCACAGTTCCCGGGCAGAAACATTTTGTTTTTCCTCTGCTGTAAATGATCTCTTAGGAGTTCCAGTCCCAATCTTCTAAGAAAATTTCTCCATCGTACTTTGCACCTGCTATTTTCTTTATAAACTGTCAAATTACTTATGCCACACACTGGCCAATCTCATCAACAATATGTACCCCACCCTTGGTTTTGTTATAGAAAGCGACCACCTCAGGCTTCTGTTTTGTTGAGGTTTCCCATTGTGGTGCCGTGTGAACATCAGAAGCACACTGCTTTTCTTAGCCATATACAAGACCAGTACCAGTGTTATAGCTTCCTGAAATCTAATGATTGTACTATACAATTCTCTGTTTTGAAATTGCAACATTTCGTTTGGAATTTCCCATTTGTCCCTGCATACAGTTCCTGCACTGCTCAGTTTGTGCTCCTTTAGCAAATGTAAGATAAACTGGAAACCGATAAACTAATTGTCAAATGTCACACTCCAAATAGGAAATAGGGGCAGCAAGTCTGTTCCCAACATCATTTGGGCCAGGCATGGTGGCACACGTCTGTAATCCCGGCACTCAGGAAGCAGAGGTGGGGTGATTGCCATGAGTTTCAGGCTAGCCTGGGATATATAGTGAGACTGTGTCTTTAAAAAAAAAATGACTCAGTTTATTACTATATGAATAAGGACCTGGTGGCTGAGTTCCAGGATAAGCGTCTAAATTGAAAGAATAATAAGTCTTTGCATCTAAAAGGATATAAGTTTTTTTTGGGGGGTGCCAGGAATCAAACTCAGGGTCTTGCATTTGCAGGCAGGCCCTGTACTGCTGAGCTACATCCCCAGCTCCAGGCATAAATTTTTATGCCATATTTTTTTTAAAGTTAGCTCTTTACTCTTTTGTTTTTTTGGTACCAAGAATCAAACTCAGGACCTTGCAGGTGCAGCACCACTGAGCTACATCTCCAGCCTTTACACCATATGTTGACCCATTGCTTTTCTATAAGTCTTTTGCCTTCCTGCGATTACCATGAGAAATCCCTGCTAAGTACAGCAGACCTATGAATGCTTTCAGTTCAGCTAGTGAGATGTCATAGTAAATACATTGTTTAAGATGGCTATTGGTGCATACAGAATGTTTTACTTGTATCTCAGCCTTTGTGTATTTCATTCCATCTTGTAGCATTTTGTCTGTTATACTTTCCAAAACTGAACGGCAGTGCTGGCATTCTGTCCAAGAGGTCAGCCCTGCCAAGATCCTCATTATATTTTCAGGCTGAGTTCTAACATTGGGTCATTCCATTTGGTTGTGTGATCATTTTGCAACATTTTGACTTGTCAAATATGTACTCACATTGCTGTTTTCTTAGTCATCTGAATCAAGGAGGTCCATATTCCTTCCATATCAGTTGATTCTTGCTCCATTTCACTGTCACAGGAACTTTGGCTTACAGGACCAACATCAAAGTCATTATTTTTTTTAAGTTATTATTATCTTCATCATCCATGCATGAGTAATCTGATGATTCTCTTTTGACCTCATCCAAAACTTGCAAATCTGTTTTTGTGTGTGTGTGTGTGCCATTGAACTGAATTGGGATACTTCTACCAGAAAAATCAAATGAAAACTTTTTAAAAAACAAATCTGAGGGCCAGGTATTTAGCTCAGTGGTTCCACTGCCTGCTTCACAAGTGCAAGGTGCCAAGTTCAGTCCCCGGTACAAAAAAAAAAAAAAATCCTAAATGCACAGAAATTTAGCAATAAACACTTCATGGGTAAAACTCACTTGCTGCTCTGGAGTTCCTGTATACACCTTGCCATTCATCTGTCAAATGGGTGAATGCAGATGGGTTTTTGCTTTCCCCAGGCACAGCTACTGTGAGTCACACCCACATTCCATTATAGTAAAATACATGTTTTCATAACAGAAAAGTGGTATGTGTATTTTTTACTCTCTCTAATACTCAAGTAAATACACCCAAAACCTGTTAGATGAAGCATTATGTAGGTACAAATCCCAGTTTGACACTTTTGCACTCGTGCACACATCTTGCCATTCATTGTACCAAGTGTGTAAACACAAAGATTGCTTCCTTTATCCCCCAGCACAGCTGGCTGCTATTATGCTAAAGTGCGTATTTACAGTAGAAAAGTATGTGATGGGTTGTTCTAACTCAATGTTATGCCCTTTGGTCTAATTATTTCTTAAGTTCTGTTGCCTCATTTCTGAATATTTCTGGTTGATCTGTTGTTCTTTCAGGTCTTCTATTACTTTCTCGTTGCCTAATAATAGTTTGCTATAGTCTTTGTCATTTTTTTAAAAATTTTGTTGTCTATAGGGTTGTTATTGTCACTTTCTTTTTTCATGTTATAATTTGTTTAGGATTTGACCACAATATTTTTCTATTGCTTGTTTTATATAAAATTAATTATCCTGAGATTCTGAAGGCAGAGCAATTCAGGATAGTCTTCTTGTCTGTGTAGAGTCCCCTCTTTTATTGTTTCCAAGTAGTGTGCAGAAACATGTCTCCCTCTCTGAGATTCCTAGGCTCTTCTCTCATCCCTCACTTTTATCAGAACCTTACCTTTCCTCTCCTTTTTCCCTTCTTGCTCAACTTGGATTTCACTCCCAGCAGTTTTTTCCCCCAATCCAGGTCCTTCTGGAAAGAAGCCCTGAAGAGTGTGTGTTGGAGACATGGCCTTTGGGACTGGATGCACCAAATCTCATCACAGCCTCCTCACCCTCTCTCTGTCCGGAGCAGTCAAAGCCCCTCCCAATCTCAGCTACATGCTCAAGTCGGTCCTCCACAGTCTTCAGTGAATCCATTAGCCCTCTCCCCTGTCCTGTTTCCTACAGGGTTTCATACGTACTCTGCAAATCAAATTCATAGCTCACGTTTGTCCATTTACATGAAATTCCTATAGACCCTGAGAGGCCAAGGGGTAACTCTCGCTATGTTTCTGGATGAAGCAGGGAAGCTCTGCTCTTTGCTAGGCCATCCAGTGGGTTGGCTGAGCCTATGTTTCCATCTGTTGACTCTCTGTAGCCTAAGACATGATCAGAAGTGTCTCCTTTCTCCATCTCTTCCTGGCCTACCTTCCTTCCCAGTCTTCACTCCCTTGGTTGCTGCTCTTACTTTCTGAGACCTCTATCCATGCACACCTGGCTTCCCATT